TTTCATAGACTCCAGATCGCGCCCACCCAAGATATCTCGAACTGGAACATTGGGTTGTCTACCTCGAGCCCGAAGGGAATCATATAAATGTGATCTGACTCCACGATACTCCGCACAAGACCAAAGGATGTGATCAGCGTCCTAGTAACCTTGTCCACATTCACAGAGATTGCTGTCTCCCAACCCCACACGGAACAAGTGAGCGTTTAGACAATAGTGATTGTACATGAGACGAGACATCACGCGTATGAAGTCTCGACTCAAGTCCAACCCTTTGAACCATGCAAACTTCGACATCTTAGGGATAATTGAATGTAGCCATCGTCCCAAGCTCCCTTCACTCCATTGATGTTGCCAGCTAACGATCGACTGCTATAGGCGATTTGTCGACCATAAATATCGCCTTCCATAGCGCCCATCTTCGCAAATGAATTTGCCTTCTCATTGCCCATAATTGAGCAATGCGAAGGGACCCACGCGAAGGTGATGATGAAAGAGCGCACGGATAAAGCACTAAGCAGCTCTCGTATTTTCAAGAGAAAATACGAGAAGTGCTTTACCGGCCTAATAGAACGGATAGAATCGATAGAACTAAGACTATCCGTAAAAATAAAGTACTGATCTGGAAGAAGTGAAGCAATAGTTTCCAAAGTGTAGTGAATTGCTGCCAGTTCAGCCACATACACAGAACAAGGAGCTTCAAGTTTTCGAGAGGCGCTATGAAATTCATTAAATACATCAAAACCAGCGGACTCTACTATTAGAGATCCATCTGTGAAAAACGTACTTGCAGAATCAACATGGCCAAACTTTACAGAGTATAATGACGGAGCAATCATAGGACGATGATGCTCTGGAATTCCGCGGATTTCCTGCGTCATAGATAAATCAAAATTCACTGAATTGCCGAAATCGGAGAAGACTACACGATTGGGAATATTTCTTGAAGGGTTGACATCCTGTGTTAAATATAGGTGGTACAAAGTCATAAAACATGTTTGAGGATTTAGCTCCAGAAGCTTCTCAAAGTTTTCGATCACCAGTGGGTTCATTACTTCGCAACGGGTGTGGAGCCTCAGCGATAACTCTGAAAAACGGACGAATAGTGGCAACATGCCCGCCAGCACTTCGAGACTCATAGTATGAGTCGAGTGCATGCATCCTAACGCGATACGAAGACAACAATACTGGATCCGTTCCAGCTTGATGATGTGCGTTTTAGCTGCCGACTGGAAGCAGAAACTACCGTACTCTAAAACCGATAAAATCGTTGTCCGGTACAACGTCAGAAGATCTTGTGGATGGGCTCCCCACCACGTTCCGATAATTGATCGAAGGAAATTGATCCTTAGTTGGCATTTTCGTCTCAGATACTCAATGTGGGATTTCCAGGTGCATTTGGTGCATCGAACCAGACCCCAAGATATTTAAAACAATTCGTTTGAGCGATCGGTTTATCCAAAATTTGCAGCTTTGGTCGTACTGGGCTACGCTTCCTAGAAAAAACGACCAACTCAGTTTTCTCCGTAGAGAATTCGATACCTTGCTGAATAGCCCAAGTAGACAAATTGTCCAAGGTATCCTGTAAGGGTCCTTGCAGGTCAACCTCTTTTGGCCCTGTGATAGACACTACGCCGTCATCTGCAAGTTTTCTCAACGTGCAATTGTCCCTAAGACAGTCATCAATTTCTCTAACTTAGAAATTGTACAAAAGGGGGCTTAAACATGAGCCTTGGGGGAGACCCATGTAGCTAAACCGAAAAGCTGTAGTGTTTCCATGACAAAAGCTCATATGTTTTTCTGACAGCAAATTGTACAAACAATTATTCAATAATGGCGACAATCCACAAGCGTGGAGTTTCTCTGAAAGAACTTCAACGGATACCGAATCAAAAGCCCCCTTGATATCGAAGAACCCAGAAGCCATTTGCTCTTTCTTAGCAAAAGCCAACTGAATTTCCGAGGAAAGCAGCGCGAGACAGTCGTTCGTTCCCTTTTCCCTACGGAAACCAAATTGAGTATCTGAAAGAAGGTGGTTCGTCTCAACCCATTTGTCGAGGCGAAAAAGGATCATTTTCTCCATCAATTTCCGAATGCGAGACAGCATCGCGATGGGCCGATACGATGGGCACGGAATCCGGACACACTTTTCGCGCGAATTTAAGAATCCATCGATCCGAGTATTCCTCGCTTTCGTTGTTAGTAGACCGGTTACGCATTCTTCGCGCCGTACTCCAAAGCGTATTCATAGAAGTTTCGCGCGTCAATCCGTCTACAAACTGCCGCCAGTAACCCCGTTTTTTGGCCTTGATGAGGCTCTTGAGTTCGCGTTCAAGAGATGTGTATGCGTCGAAATGCTCGCGTGTTCCGCGTTTCCGAAAAAGTTTAAACGCGACGATACTGACGATACTGTATCGCCTATCGCGGATTGGAACTTAGTCCAATCGATGTTACGGGTTAGATCATACGCCACGTTAACGGATTCTGTCAACTCGTCACCCACTGGCAATCGAAATTATGATCGGCAGATGATCATTACCGTGCGGATCCTGGATTACATACCAAGTGCAATCCAACGAAAGTGAATTGGAGCAAAAGGTGAGATGTAATCTGCTACCATTCGATGATGGACCAACCAAACGTGTTATTTCTCCATTGTTAAGAATTGTCATGTTGAAGTTGTCGCAGAGATCATAAATCAAAGTAGAACGGTTATCATCGTACAGCTCCCCCCAAAATGTACCGTGGGAGTTGAAATCTCCCATGATCAACCATGGAGCGGGAAGGTACCGCACATATGTCGAAAAGTTGTTTGCGATTAACAGAGACTCTAGGAGCAATATATACAGAAGCAATACAAAGCCTCTTACCTTTAATGGTAGCCCGACATGCGACAACTTCAATGCCGGGGAATTCTGGAAGATTCACTCTATAGAAAGAATGGTACTTTTTTAATCCCCAAAAGTACCCCTCCTCCACGTGAATCCTCACGATCCAATCGAATAATGTTAAAATCGTAAAAAGGGAGATCAATTTCTGAAGAGAGCCATGTTTCACAGAGGGCAAATGCATCCCAATTATTGTTATGGACTAAATACTTGAACGAATCTAATTTCGGAATAAGGCTTCGATAATTCCACTGTAGAACAGTGATCAATCCCCTACGATAGCTGCAAGGAGGGGCCATTTTGAAGTCAATTGCTTCAAGAAGGATTTCACAGTGGGAAGCAATGTGGGGACAATGCTTTTCAGAGGATCAGAAATGTTGAGGTATTTGAGAATACCGTCCACAATGTTATCAAATGAGAACAACCGTTCCTTTTTACTTTTTACTTTTAAGTAATCACTAGTCACTTGTAGCTGATGGCGTTTTTGGACCAAAAAAACTGCGAAAAACCACCAAATACCTCGCCAAATACAACGATATCCCGAGGTACAAATATAGTAATTATTAAAAAAAACGATATCCCGAGCACGCGCACTTTTGCTACTGTTAAGAGCCACCCACATTAGATCCGTTTGCGTTGCGTTGACGTAAATATGACAGTTAGACAATAGATTTAGCTGTCACTTTGCCGCAACGCGTCCGATCCGGATCTAATGTGCGTGGGCCATTAGAAACAATAGACTTCTCTGACATTTGTGAAATGCACAAGTATTAGTGCAGAACTCGGGGTAAATTATAAGTATTAGTGCAAGAAAACCTTTGAATTTACCCAAACTTCTGCACTAATACATGTGCAATTCACAAACGTCAGAGAAGTCTATGTCCCGAACTCGAATGAATAAGAAGAAGAATAAGAAGAAGAAAGAGGAGGAGGAAAATGTGAAGACAAATAATAATAATAATACTGATAAGAAGAAGAAGAAGAAGAAGAAGAAGAAGAAGAAGAAGAAGAAGAAGAAGAAGAAGAAGAAGAAGAAGAAGAAGAAGAAGAAGAAGAAGAAGAAGAAGAAGAAGAAGAAGAAGAAGAAGAAGAAGAAGAAGAAGAAGAAGAAGAAGAAGAAGAAGAAGAAGAAGAAGAAGAAGAAGAAGAAGAAGAAGAAGAAGAAGAAGAAGAAGAAGAAGAAGAAGAAGAAGAAGAAGAAGAAGAAGAAGAAGACTGGCATTGGCAATTGTGAGCAGCGTCTATGTTGAGGGCAACTTACAAAATGTAAGGCCAGGTACCCACTGGTGTAACATCTGCTGCAACATGTCGACGTTCGCCACATGATACACGACATTGACGTGGTATTTTTACATGTTATATGATGTCACACCGTCTTTACACCAGTGGGCACCGGGCCTAATGAAATAAACTACACTTAAATTGTTGACACGGTAACGAAATATATAGTGCTTATAGATATTTTTAAAAATAATAATTTATATCTTATTGAATAATATAAAATAATTCCCCGTTTATTAGTGATTAAAATTGGCAAACGTCTATGTGGTTAACTTATTACCGAAGACAACAAATCAAGAAGACTGGCAACTTTGCCAGAATCCAAGCGACAGATACAATGGCGCTGCGCTTGACTGAAGGTGGAAGCAACGCATAGAAAAATGAGCAAATACACAAACCCTTCTTGTGAGGATGTAATCTTTGCTATCAAATTCGTTCGAAGCATTTACCTTTGAGCGGCAGATGACGCGATTGTACCTGTCTCATAGCGTTCGTATGAGAAAATGGAAGAGTTGCCAGTCTTCTTGATTTGTAGTCTTCGCTATTACACTTGATATGAAAATTGTTTTTCTTAAGAATTTGATTGCTACGGTTATAAAACCTTACATCCAGCTTTTATTATGCTGCTTTATAGCACGAAACAAGGCTGGAAATGTTTGTTAGGATGCTAGTTGCCCTGTTCGCATCAAACACGTAGAGTGCGATCTCCTCTGGGCATCGTCATCAGGCAGTATCGACCGTATCAACATCTTTCATTCATTTCTATACCAAGCAACATGTGATTTCAACAGCACATGCAAGCAATCATACAAATGCTGTCAATAAAATGTAAAAGCAATCTTTATCACATGCTGCTATTTACGTATTCATCGTATATAGAAATTCAACGCAAAACTCATCAGTTAGTCTTAGTCTGACAAGCTAACGCTTCGGACCAACTTACTGGCGGAATTCTAAAGCACAGATTTCATGCTTATATTCGAGACGCCAACAAATAAATCAATAAATTCATTGAAATACATATATACGGTGATTTAGTTATTTCAAGGGGCATAAGTGAGATGCTTATTTACAGAATACACAATGATTTACTAGTTCTTATCTTATCTCTAGTGAATAGCATTTCAAAACGCACGAGTGATTATTTGTGCTTCTAAACAGATCAATACTTAGAGAAGCTTCAATTGATTATGTTACAAGTTCAATGTTTTGACACGAATAAAATGGTCTCAAAAGAAATTCCAGTCAAGGAAACAAAACATCGCGCCAAGTGTAGCGGTAAGTATATACAATGTGGCTTATAGTTAAGTCTATTCATTTTTAATCGAGCAGAAATCGAGAATACAGCATATTGTTACGCGTCATTCTATGGTTATCTAGTTTATTACTTCAGAGCTACCGTTTTAAATCTGAACACTTTTAAGTTTGAACCCCGCTAATCTGCACGACGTGCAAACTAAAAATTGCTCAGGCGTCATTAAGTACAAGGAATGGAGAAAAGTGAAATGGAAGGATTCGAAACGGAACGCAGAATCAAAACAAAACAGCAAATAAGGCTACCAGAAACCAGCATTTCTCATGGTCGTAGCACAGACAAACAGACATAATAGGGGAAATGGCTCTAATGTTGGCCTATGGATCTAAGATTGGGCCCATGGCTAAAAATATGCTATTTATCAATTTTATCTAGATGAACGCGTCATTGGGACGGTACTAATGAATATTTTTGGTCGCTTTTGAAAGTTTAACGATTGCTGTATTTATGTATGCACACAAATGGAGCGTCACATATCATATAAACTTGTAATGTAAAGTTTTGAGACATTTCGTGCAATGTAGCAAATATTGTATACAAAAGCCCTTTGTTGTAAACAACATTGTTTACAAGTTGCTCGGTTGCGTGAAATGAAATACAAGTTTACGTGAATGAATGTTTACATCACTATTAAAATTCAGAATTTTTATCTGTGTGGGCCCAAATTAGGGGCATTTAGGCCGACATTACATCCATTTCTCCTACATTGAATATTTTTCAATACGGTGTCACTACTGTCTTCTGTTGAGTATACTAACAGATGGTGGTAGTGTGTAAACGTCAAATGCAAGGGTTATTGACAATGCGCGCCACAGGTGGCGGTACTATACCAACTATAAACATTGACCGTTAAATGCGTGTTCGATAAACTAATTGCCAGTTTTATGTCTGTTTGTCGGTGGTCTTAGGGCTACTAGAAGTTCAAATTAAAAATTAACCCCGTTAATATGCGCACAGCAAACAATAAGGAATTTTACATTACACACACAGAAAAAAAAAGTTGTTGAATATTACATCCAAACTGCTGCAACCAGGTCAATCCATCGGTTGTGTAATATAACGCTGTGTATAAACCAAAACCATTTTAAAATTAAATCGCTTTAAACTATGTTTTAATTTAATTTTACATTAAAAATCATGCCCATTAAAAGAGCAGGATAAAACTCATAAAAGTACACGATTATTCGATTAATTTTCTCTTGCAGTGTATTATTCTCCACGCGATGTAAAAACTTATCAAAGAACATCGAATTTTCAACGAGAAAATCTATAAATTTACATGCTTGCATAATCAACAAACATTGAGAAAGCTAATATGGCGGACGGACCGGTTATTCGATCAGTTTTTTCTCCGCCGTTTATAGTTCGAGTCACGTCTTTCGTGGAAAATGTCGGAGAAAGTGCATTGTAAGTTTTGTGCGCTCAGTTTTGGTTATGTGGAGCGATTTATCGTGCATAAGTGCGTCCAGAAATAGAAAATGGATGACAAAGTATTGATTAAACCGTACAGAGAGCACTTTTAGTTTGTTCAGAAAATCAAAAATTTGGATATTGAAAAATAGAAAAAACATTCAAAAACGTGCACATGGTTCTTTTTTTTCTCCTGGCTGATCGTTTTGATACAGTGGTGGAAGTGTAGGGTATGTACTGCGCTGTGAAGGCAGGTTATTCCGCGTGGGTGATATTCCACGTACCGTAAAACGGGGTATCTTTGATAATGCGGGTAACTTTGATGGTATAATATAAAGAATAAATTTACTCGCTGTGCTTTTTCCAAATAAGAAACATTGGTTCCAAATTGTAGCTTAGGGTATTTCCGTTGATATGGTATCAATATTTTAAATAGTATGTGTTACATATTTTACAAAAATATTAATAATGCAACGGCGCCGGTGGTGTAGTGGTAAGCGTGATTACCTCTCACCCCAGCAGGCCTGGGTTCAATACCAGTCGGCGCCGCCGGGATGTTCTGAGGCATAACATCTCTGATCACGCCTTCCTTCGGATGGGAAGTAAAGCCGTTGGTCCCCGGTTCATGAGTTGATGGGTCGATATGTAGGGTCCAGGTGTGGGAGCTGCCTTCCTGGCACGTCGGTAGCATTGGTGCTCAGCACGGAAAACAAGATCGACGGAAAAAACAAACCAAAGGAAAAAAATATTAAAAAACCATTTTCGTGTTTTTCGCCTTTTTGAAAAAGCACTCAAACCATCACTCATGAAATGTATTTCCGATACAGCGATCACAAATTCAATGTTGTATTCTTATTGCTTATGAAGTTTCTTGATTATATACCCGCATAAACGATAACCATAAAGAGTGCCTAACAACCTATTCGGGTTATCATCCCAACAATATGTGGTACGGTGGCACGATTTGTGGTATCGTTCATGTATGGTGCTCGTTTATTAGGGTACTCATTCAAAGTTTCATGTATAAACAACTAAATTGTTTGAGTTTCCCTCTTTTTTTTTCTACATTCATCGAGCATTATCAAAGTAACTCCAAATCGAAATACTGAAGTTCGGTCACAAAACTAAAAAAATGTGCCAATGCTTCAATTTTCGTTCAACATATTACTAACGAATTAACTCTTGGATCCTCAGTACTTGTTTTAAAAATATAAAATTTGAAAAACAGTCAATGCTGTAAAAAAAATTTAGAATATACTTTAAAAAACTATCAATGCTACCCCGTTTTACGGTACTTGACAATCAGTTCGATTTTATGCAAATTGGATCAAAAGCGAAATGCGTGTCCTGTAAAATTACACGATGAGCCCATCTAAAGCTATAGACGAGTGCACGGATGGATTTGAGTTCACTCACTCGAAAAAAGTGACACAACAGCGGGGCCCTGTTTACTAAAAATGAACACATGAATAATGCTCGCATAACATTTGCAAATGGATTTTGCAAATGGAGTTTTGTGGAGGCCAACCGGAGAGAAGACCGAAAACGAATACAACTTTGTGTGTGTGTGTGTGTGTGTGTGTGTGTGTGTGTGTGTGTATGTGTGTGTGTGTGTGTGTGTGTGTGTGTGTGTGTGAGTGTGTGTGTGTGTGTGTGTGTGTGTGTGTGTGTGTGTGTGTGTGTGTGTGTGTGTGTGTGTGTGTGTGTGTGTGTGTGTGTGTGTGTGTGTGTGTGTGTGTGTGTGTGTGTGTGTGTGTGTGTGTGTGTTTGTCATCCTCTATCCCTCACCCAGCCGGCGGCGTTGGACAAGTAGAACTGCGAATAATTTGATCAAATCTCATGCTCCGTAATGGTGCCCTTTATGTTGTGAAGACTAGTACTTCAAAAAGGGTAAGGGCAAGATAGGGTGTCCTCAACAAGTTAAGGGAACAGGATGCACTAGATGTCCACAACAAGTACAGCAAAACATCACATAGATGCCCTTATTCACACTAACTACGCAGGGGGTAGAAGGTTAATAAGAGCCACCGCCGCCAACTAAAGCTTGAACCGGGTACCTGGGACTCCCACGATATACCCGCGGCAATGGTCAGCAAACGATGCCTTGTGCGTATTTAGTATGTAATATGTATTTGAATACACAAAATGTTTGAAGCCATGCGTCATCTAAACCATAATTTGCATCACCACAAATACACTTGTCAACAATCTTCAACTGGAACGTACCGTGCCGATTCAAATTTCGGACACTTAAACTCGAATTTCGGACACTTTTAAAAGTTGATTATCTCGGTCGAATATGATCCACATGTCTTGTAAATTTTAAATTTTTTTGACTAGTGCCCTCCACGATCATCTAACATTATTACTTTGTTTCTAACTGGATGTAATATTTAATTAAAAATGAAAGTGTCCGAAATTTGAATCGTCCGAAATTTGAATCGGAACGGTACTCACCAAATCACTTCACCCGGGAGCGCATTCCCGATGCTTCCACGCATATTTTTCTCTCCACTCCAACCACACAACAACCAAATATCACTTTTCTTCACTTTTCTTTTTCAATTTACTCAGTGCACAAAAGCAATGCACCTAGCAAAACCCTAACAATAGATCAGCGCCGTTCTCATCACCACGTAAATAAACAGAAATTAAAATTTTCACTCGCGATGCCACAATTTTTTGGTACGGAAGAAACAATCAATCCACGCAGCGCCAAATCTTCTGATGCTTGCAATTTTGCAAACATGATGAATCATGTTTTCTTTCTTGATTCTAAAACTTCTCGGAAAGCGAGAAAACCGCCACTCACACACGTATAACCGTCCGGGAGGCAGAGTGCCAGCGCTAATCCGGCAAATGCAGCCGAAAACTATGAAAGAGAATGCACGCACAAAACAGAGAGCAAACTTTAGACACAACCGTATCCAAAGGCGTTCGAAACCCGATTCCTCTCTGGGTGTGTTACGAATGTACGCGGAAACCCAACGACACCATTTTGTTATCTCTGTTCACATAAAAGTGAGGTTATCTGATATTTCAATGCTGATAAAAAATCAGAACAAGCTATTTGACAAGCTTGTGAAACAGATAAAGGAGCAGTGAGCGCAGCCCCTTGAGGAAGGTGCTGCATTAGCAGTATCACCCAATTCATCTTACTCCTGTTCTTGATATTGACGAAGGTTTGATTAGGTTATCTCTATTAACAAGACTTTTAGCTATAGGCTGGTTAATCTCTTGCCAAATTTTTGCTTTTCCAAAGCATAGCATAATGATGCAACGGCGATTCGAATGGATTACGGGCCCGATGCCGACAACCCAAAGAAATTGAGTTTCCGTAGGATCTTCTGCGTTAAAAAGTACTTCAACTTTGAGGTCACTACGGAGGACAAGCGAAGTTTGGAAAAAGTTCTCGCAGCCTTTAAGAGAAAAGTGGTGTTCCGGGTGACGTTATCGTTGACCGGTTGGAACTCTTCACCTCCGCACAGTTGTCAATGGACAGCATTGACGATTTCATGTCTCACCTGAAGGTGTTGGCAAAACCATACCAGTTCGATGAGCTGGAACAAGAAATTCTAACGTTTAAGATCGTTGCATCGAAGAAGTGGCCACATCTCTAGATGCTCACGACAATTCGGCTCGACTTAAATAATAGGGCCCTATATTTGCAATGGCTGTCCAAACTCGATCGGTAGACAAACTTCACACCAGTCATAACGGGATTGAATCGACATTAAGACTGGCGAAGAAGTATCTATTTTGCCCGAGTATGAGCTTACAGATAGTGGATGCGGTCAAAAAATGCACCGTATGTGCAAAATTTGCCAGCAGTCAAGCAAAACCTCTTATGCGGAGTACTGCAGTTCCCGTGTATCCATTCCAGATTGTGCCGATGGACATATTTTTCACAGACTATGCGGGCAAACGGAGAAACTTTCTAATAAGCGTCGACCGTTATTCTGACTACATCGAGGTTAACATACTAAAGGATTTGTCAGCTTTACTTTGAACACCTGTCAGATTAGCTTTGCCCGCCATGGAGTTCCTCAGCTGGACATAATAGACAACGGAACTTTATCAACCACGAAATGAAGGAAAGCGTGGAACTTGAATCTTGCATATATGTGATGTTTTCTACTCGATAGGCTCAAAATGGGCGTAGATAACCCTATTTTCAAACTTTACATGTAAAAACATAAAATCGTTATTTTTATTTTTTTCTCTTTGTAACGTAACGGAAAGCTATGCACACCCCTCTTCTATGTAACAATTCGTAACGATATAGGTGACCCTCTTCCCCACTATAAGCGTTACGTAATTTATGAACGAAGCCGAATGCGTTCGGCTGAGCTTCTAGATGCAACATTACGTATTATTATTCAATAAGATGCTTTAAGTTGAATAATTATCATTAATTTTGTATCACCCTGTTAGCATTGATCTTGCTTTCCCCGAACTTGAACCACTTTAAATGGTGTTACGATCAAAATTTGGTCAATCAAGAATGCGTGCAAATTGATTGATTTTTTTTATTTTAAAAACTAAATTATTTTTTCTTTTTTAAGTTCAATTAGTATAAAGTATAGAAAAAAAAATCAGCTAAGCTTCCGGTTGACCGAATCCGAATTGCCAGGCCTTTCGTTTAACTCATGCCATCAGATTCTGTATCACACAGGGGACACATGCATGCTTGAACGAGCGAGGCTCTGGCTTGAGTGCTTCTCCTTGTACATGGTTCAGTTCAGAATTGATAATAGGAGAGTTACGCAGACTGAAACCAAAATCTACCTATCGAACTGTCAAACCGTCTACCTATCGAGTAAAGAGCCTGAATTTATAAAGAGACGACATGTCAAAATTGGAACAATCGACTATCTGTCAAAGTCATACGAAAAGCCATTCCAATCGAGCAAAAGACCTGTCAAATTGATAAGATGTCGTCTCGTTATAAATTCAGGCTCTTTACTATCGAGCATAGTAGACAAACTTACTCTGTTGCGCGGGAAGTATTGTTATCGAAACTAGAGGAAACTTCCACAACCCAGGTGAAGTCATCCGAGGTGTAAACAAAAACAAAGGTTTGCCAAAATAAAAATAAAATGCCCATTGATCAACATCAGTGGTGCAAGCTTCACTCTGCGTAACTCTTCTATTATCAACTCTGGTTCGGTTGAGTCAGTCTTGTAAAAGATGTTGTAGGCAACGCTGCGTGTTGTGTGGCATGTTTAGTGTCTATGTGGTGTGTGATGGAATCGGCTTTTGTAGATTGCGTCGGTTCACGACAGTACACACCTACAAAATGCGGGGTGTTTAGGTTTTTTAAATGCTCGATTAAAAGAAATACGTCAAGTTTAAGTCGACCAAATTTTGATCTTAACACCCTTCATTATACAGCAATTCCATAGAAAAAAGTTATAGTGGGTCTCAGAATTTCATGAAAATTGGTATAGTTCTTCCGTATCAAAAAATATTAGACTCGTAGTTTTTTATTGCGCCATTAGGGTGGCCATTTCCGTGTTAGGGTGGTCCAAAAAATCATTTTTTTTCAAAAATGTCTTTTTTCAAAAATTTATAACTTCTGAACCTCTTGACCGATTTTTACGATTGACCCTTCAAATGAAAGATGTTTTAATGTAGTTTTAAGAAAAGTTATGAAACACTCAGAGATATTTGATTTTGTAGGAAAAAATATGTTACAATTGCTTTTTCTTGATTTTCACTGCGAGGGTCTTCAACAACTTCTTATTTTAGTATTTATGGACAGCCTCCAGGCTGAACTGAATGTTGCACCCAGCTTGTAAGTTACTCATAGATTTCATTAGTCACAGCTGCTGTGACTCGATGGAGACGCATTGTGAACTACCTTGCGTCTTCATCGTTTCCATGCACGTGTGGTGCATATATTGCGGAACAATAATTTTTTATTTAAAAAAAATTGTATCTCCAAAACTGCTTCTCCGACATCGCTAATTTTTTGCTACTTCATGTAAAATTAAATGATCTTTCAATTAAAAATACTAAAATAAGAAGTTGTTGAAGACCCTCGCAGTGAAAATCAAGAAAAAGCATTTGTAACATATTTTTTTCCTACAAAATCAAATATCTCTGAGTGTTTCATAACTTTTCTTAAAACTACATTAAAACATCTTTCATTTGAAGGGTCAATCGTAAAAATCGGTCAAGAGGTTCAGAAGTTATAAATTTTTGAAAAAAGACATTTTGAAAATAAATGATTTTTTGGACCACCCTAACACGGAAATGGTCACCCTAATGGCGCAATAAAAAAAATACGAGTCTAATATTTTTTGATAAGGAAGAACTATACCAATTTTCATGAAATTCTGAGACCCACTATAACTTTTTTTCTATGGAATTGCCGTATAATAAAATACATAAAACAGATCAGACGTGCGTTTATTTATTCTCTGACTAGATATTTGTATGTTCACCGTTTGTTCGCGGCTCGCACTCGGGTATTCAACCACAATGATAAACATATTCAGTTATCAAACCTTGATTACCGGATGTCAGACCGAAGAACTAAAGTTTTAAAACAAATGTCAGAACAATTTGGTATAAAACTTTACTCGGGAAGTCCTAAAATGTTATAGGACTATTTTGATCATGTTTGGGATATCAACAACATGTTATAACTCCGCAGTCTGAAAAAGGTACAAAATGGTTAGATCTCACCAGTTGGAGGATAATTTCCGTTTTTCTTTTCAGACATAGCAGTGATCTCAACATCTTTAATCCTGGCTGTGATGTCTTTTACAATTGGATTTGTTGCACATAGATACGAGCTTACAAAAATAATTTTGGATGATCGATTAAAAATGAGAGAATTTACACCTCATTTCAAATGGTGGCAAGATACTTCTGATGTTTTGGTAAGTACTTTTATTTTAGTAGTAGAAAAATGATCACAGTTTTGCAGTTACAAATTTCAGCGTCACCAGTTCACATGCATATCAGAAATATTTCATAGTTTGTTTGTTCTAATCTCAGGTTACATGTAAAGTTTACGTATTTTCCGTGACAAATGCAGAGCGATGGATGGATAAGTTAGATAATCAGTTGAATTTCGAGGAGGTAGGACCCATAGTATACCGTGAATCGTTGGATCATCTTGATGTAGTTTTTCATCCTCAAAACTCAACAATTTCATACAACTCCAAAAGACAGCTCCATTTTATGCCAGAATTTAATGAAGATGGAATACTTAACAAAACTATTACTATTCCTAATACTGCTGTACTCGTAAGTTTGACTACATTTATATAGTAATAAATGCAATATTAATACAATTTCCACCATTTTTTCTACATTCCGCAGGCAATGGCAGCAAAATTACAAAATTCGAGTTTATTCGTAAAATGGGGCTACAAATTGATTCTATCTAGCTCCGGTGATAAAGTTTTTATGAATACAACAGTTTACAACTACCTCTGGAATCAAACAAGTCCAATCATGAAGTCAGCCAAAAAGATTGTTCCATTTATGGTTCCTGTTGAAAATATTGGCACCTTGAATGTGGTAATGTGTAGTAATATAAACATAAAAGGTTTTCTACCGTACCTTCTCTGCTGCTCATCGCAAGTCAGTCCCATTTGAGTTTTTGTCAAAACTCAGTTAGCTTATCACACATAGCTTCATTATACTACATGAACCCAACAACTTAGTTCTGGAAAAGTTTGGGAAACAACATAACGGGTTGTCCCATTACATAAGAAGTAATGGCATGAAGAAAACTTAAAACGTGTTTTTCTCGGCTTGCTGATGTGTACTATGGGACGGACTTACCATGAACGGCAGTACTTCATCTATATACAGAATGCTATGTTCAGACCATAGCCTTATAACATTTTTATAATAATTATCGACACGAAAAACGCAATCAAGATAGTCTTATGTTATAACTCTCCAGTCTCGGCATCTTCCCTTAAAAGCTGTACAGACTGGAGAGTTATATAACATATTATAACGGTTGTCAAATAATTGCAACACAGAAACCACCATCAAGATAGCGCTATAACATGTTATAACTCTGTAGTCTGAACGTACTATGAACGTACTATTATAGTACGTTCAGACTACAGAGTTATAACATGTTATAGCGCTATCTTGCTGGTGGTTTCTGTGTTGCAATTATTTGACAACCGTTATAACATGTTATAACTGCTCAGTCTGGACAGCTAAGGCTCTGAACCATTTGGTGGATTATTTTAACTTTTGGTTAAAATTTGACAAATGGAAAGCAATCGATTAACCCTGCTAATCGAGCATGGTTATTTCTGACAGACAAGAAGTAAAATTTTGACAACCTTGGCTCGACCGGTCGATCGACAGCACAGGGATTTTCGAACATTGAGAATAACTTTCGAAATGTCACTTTTAACCACGAGTTAAATTTAACTCGGCAAATCCGGCAAATGGTTCACAGCCTAAGTTAGCTAAGTTGGTAAAGCGCTGTCCATACTGAGCAATTACACACTTAAATTTTTTCGCCTAGATTCCAACAGCCGAGCAGTTCTGCAATTTATTTCGCTGAGATTCAGTAAAACAATTGCCGAGACTCAGCTAACAAATAACATTTTGCTGAGATATCAGCTAACAAACAGATAGTTTGCAGAGATATCAGCAAAAGTAAATGCCGAGGTAATCGGCTGTTGGAGATTTTACCGAGCTAGATTAAGTGTGTATAACATGGTATAACGATTGTCAAATAATTGCAACACATAAATCACCATCAAGATAGCGCTACACGCAGAAAAAAATATTTTAAACGTAATACTATTTGACGTAAAATCAATAAGAATTTCATTTTATTTTGGCTGCAAAAAGAAATCATCATTGTTTCAACAATCCTGTATTTTTGTTCCTCAAAACCCACACACTTAATCTAGCTCGGTAAAATCTCCAACAGCCGATTACCTCGGCATTTACTTTTGCTGATATATCTGCAAAATATCTGTTTGTTAGCTGATATCTCAGCAAAATGTTATTTGTTAGCTGAGTCTCGGCAATTGTGCTACTGAATTTCAGCAAAATAAATTGCAGAACTGCTCGGCTGTTGGAATCTCGGCGAAAAAATTTAAGTGTGCACACACTTAATCTAGTTCGGTAAAATCTCCAACAGCCGATTACCTCGGCATTTACTTTTGCTGATATCTCTGCAAAATATCTGTTTGTTAGCTGATATTTCTGCAAATAGTTATTTGTTAGCTGAGTATCGGCAATTGTTTTACTGAATCTCAGCAAAATAAATTGCAGAACTACTCGGCTGTTGGAATCTCGGCGAAAAAATTTGAGTGTGCATGGATTGTTAAATCAAAAAGAAAATCTTTTCGAATTTACAAGAGCTTTCATGGTTTTGACGTAAGCTGTCAAATTTGGCAGCTGGGTCAACAACAAAAATATGTTTGTTTTTAAAAGAGATTTCTTGTTGATTCAATCATATTTATTTTATGAAGTCTGACAATTCACGCAGTAGAAATAAAAATATGTTTATTGATTCAAAAATAATATGGCGATTTTCTTTTTTTTGTTTTGTTTTCTTTTTGCCACAAACAAAATTGCAATGAATTTCTGAGGCATAAAATCACTGATCACGGCTTCCTTCGGAAGGGAAGTAAAGCCGTTGGTCCCGGTTCATAAGTTTATGGGTCGATATGTAGGGTCCAGGTGTGGGAGCTGCCTTCCTGGCGTCGAGAGCATTGGTACTCAGTACGGAAAACAAGATCGACGGAAAAAAAACAAAAAAATTGATTATATTTAGCAACTTTTCGGAAATCTTGCACTTATTTCCCGAAATTCACAATTAAAATCAATACTTACGTGGAACGCGGAAAAGAGCTTAATCAAACGATAAAAGTTGATGTTAAAGTTATAACATGTATATGAATTATTATGGAACTGTATCGAGTTCCTCCCGATAAAGGTAACTCGGTGGTGAATAGAGCAGGGATAACTGGAATGGTTAATGGCAGATATCCCATTCAAGAAGTGGTTGTGAGCTCATATGAAGGTATCATCATCGCCAAATTTAACGAAATATGTATATGCAGTTGTTACGTACTCCCTAAATGGACGATGGAGCAGTTCCACCAGATTTTGGATGGAATAACCAATGAGCTGATCGGACAAAGACCGGTAGTCATCGGAGGAAACTTTAATGCATGGGAGACGGCCGTGAATCAACGTCACTTTCTGCAGTCCGTCGCTGGTGGCAAACATGAAATGGAGAGTGTGTATGGGATATACCGATAGCACCATCAGGCGATCCGGTATAGCATCGATTAACGGAATCCTGTGGTGATACCGAGAACGAAAATTTGCGAACGGAAGTGGAAGATGAAGGATTTCGACTATGATCTCTTCGTTGACTCCGAGTAGACAGCAGCTCCGTGAACCTGATGACGGACGAGTTGACAGAAACGTTAGTGAGGGCATGTGATACGACCATGCCTAGAAAACTGGAGCCAAAGAACCGCCGGCGCCCAGCTTACTGGTAGAACGGAGCACTTAGCACCCTCCACTTTAGTTGATTCAGAGCCAGAATACACGTTCAGAGAGCAAGAACCGATAAAGACATAGGAGCTTAGAGTAGTGTTCCGAGCGGCCAGGGCCGCACTAAAACAAGAGATGTCGCAAACTGTTTCAAAGAGCTGTACCGAGACGCTGATTCCAATCCCAGGGGCAATGCATACCGAGTCGTGATGGCGAAGGTCATTGGTCTATCGACGCCCACTGAAATATGTCCAGACAAATTGAAGGTCGACTGGACGAGGATTTCTTCCCAGACAGATGGGAGAATCAGAAGCCAGGAATCCAGTATCGTATAGGCACAGACAAACAGACATAACTCATTGAATATTTCTCGCCGTAAAATATCGTCGCTAAAACATTACCCTGTGGTGGGTAGTACGCTGAACAGATGGTGGTACTACCAACTACGATACTTTTAAATTGACCGTTAAATGCTTGCGAGTGTTATGTCTGTTTGTCTGTGGTATAGGCCTCTATGTCTGCTGGATATACAAGGCAAGCTCTCGTCAACATGCTGACAAAATGTCAGCACGGATTGTAAAAAGGGCCTGTTCGGATTTCGGAAAGGGAGATCAACCTAAGATGAAAAGTGATGAAAACTAAGATGAAACTGTCGGAAGAAAAACTTTATATTTCAGTTTCCTCTGGAGATGTTGATGCTTATATCGCAGCCCAGTGGCAGGCGCGTAGGCAACATGTTATACGGTGACAGCGGGCCCAGCACAGCAAAATAAATGATTTGAGCCCGGGACATGCTGCCTACTGTCAAACGCTGCTGTTGGTATAGGCCTTGTCACTGGCCTGTTATATCGGCATGATATAACCGATAACAAATATTTTACTTTTCGGTTCGTTAATCGATTAATCGATTTTTCGAATGAAAACGACCATCACTAGATGAATGTGGAACGTCATTTAAAATATAAGGACCGTACATAAATAATGATACAATTTGAAAGGGACCGGGGCTAATCACAAATTACGTCCCCACGGTAACTGAAATAAACACGAGTGTTCACCGGTTGGATCAACGGTGGATGCAATTAAGACAGTGGACGAGAGAGCCGAGAAGGCGTCCAAATAGAAGCGGAGATGATCGACACGGTATCCAACTAGATGCAAGAAGCAAAGCTGGCCCACCACAAAACAAAGCAGTATGCACTATCGCTGGAATGATCCCTATCGGCATCACCCTGACGGAGGACAGCGAATGCTAAAGGCGGAGAGAAGCCGGAAGAGTACCGAAGTGGCAGCAGGAGTGGGTGGATAACGGTAGATGGACATGTAGATTAATACCGATTATTTCGACCTGGGTGAACAGAAAATTCTGAGAAGTCAACTTCCACGTGACGCAGTTCCCGGCTGGCCACGATTGCTTCAGTAAATACCTGCATTGGTTCGGACACGCAGCGTCACCTCTCTCCCACCGGAGGCGACCTCCTTCCGATGTGACCCCAAAGAGCCACAGAGGTCACACACCAATGAAAAAATTCTTAAATGTAGAGGAAGATTTAAGCAATTTAATGCAAAAAAACCCCAAACGTTTACGTTGTTTCATTTGCTCACAAAAAAAAAATCCGAAAATCGTCGAGTTTTTTATGTGTTACTTGTATTTCCCCCCTTAAGAAGAATTTGAATGACAATTATAGGATATGGTTAATTAAATTTCCTAATATTACTTTTTTCACTACATACCCACACTGATACAGATGTACAACGACTATAACGATAGAGTGAACGTTCGGCATGGACTACAACATGGAGATGATCAGTTCTTCATGATCAATTCATACAGGAACCGGCCAACTGTTCCTGGATTCATACCTGAAAATGGTGATTGTTTTGCATCCATCGTGAACTCATCAGAGGGAGCTCTATACCAGCAGAATTTGGACGAAAATTCCATCATTATATACTGGAGAAGGACACTTTGTCGTGCAGTACCTCTCTACTTTGAAAGGAAAGTTCAACGTGGACCATTACTCGGCTATGAATATGTTCTTCCCGACAACTCATACGATCGATTAATGAACGGTACTGAGGACTGCTACAAAGGACAAAATAGTTTTCTGGAAAATGGCATGACGGATATGTCTAAATGTTATAATGGTATGTTATGTTTGATGAACTTTACTGAACAGTAATGAATGTACGTGTCAACGTAAAATATTATTTGTAGATTTTCCCGTAGCTGCCACAAGCCCACACTATTTCGCAAGGAATCTATCGATGGCAAAGAAAATATCCGGAATGCGTCCGGATCGCGAGAAACATTACAGCTATACAATTGCTGATCCAACCCTCGGTATTCCAATAGATCAACGTGCTCGAACGCAGAGCAATCTAGTAATTCCTGAGTTAAACGGGTTTTCAGATGACATTCAGATGTTTAGCAACATGATTCTGCCTATGTTCTGGATAGAATATGTAAGTATTTCTGTTTATTGAATTCGACATGATTTACGCTCGTCCGTCGCCAGGGATGGCATCGGTGCCGGATGTTCAGCTCTACAATGTGAAAATTGTTATGTTTGATCAGGAGAATACTAGCTTTTATGTATCTATTTTATTATGGATTAACTAAAAAGTCAATGGGACTTAACGTTAGTTTTTGTGTGCTAGATAGAGAAAGACGATTAAACGTCAAAAAGGTCTATCGACTTTTATAACGTTTGCTGAATGCTAAAGTTTGAGGAACCGGTGAACACTCGTGTTTATTTCAGTTACCGTGGGGACGTAATTTGTGATTAGCCCCGGTCCCTATTCATGTACGGTCCTTATATTTGAAATGATGTTTCACATTCATCTAGTGATGGCCGATTTTCATTCGAATAATCGATTAATCGATTAACGAACCGAAAAGTAAAATATTTGTAATCGGTTATATCATGCCGATATAAGCATTAACATCTCCAGAGGATCATCACCGATCGTTTCAAACATGTGCTGCACTCTCATAGGTGGAAAAATGGCAGCACAGCGAACAAAAAATAATCGATTAGTTGTTCATCGAGTAATTAAAAAATGGGGCATCGCTGATTTTGGTGTGATTGTTTTGATAAAAAGTGCACAAAATTTCATCTCTACCGAGGGGGCAGCAAGCCGGCGCCGGTGGTGTAGTGGTAAGCGTGACTGCTTTCTAACACCCCGATGGGTCTGGGTTCAATCCCAGCCGAGGTCGGTGGGATTTTTCTGAGGCATAAAAATCTCTGGTCACGTCTTCCTTCGGAAGGGAAGTAAAGCCGTTAGTCCCGGCTCATGTGTGTTGAATGGGAGCGATACCCTACGCAGGCGTGGAAGCTGCCTTCCTGCACATTCGATTACCGTCAATGGATGCCAATCGATGCCCGTCGGTGATTGGCACTAGATTGCGGAACAGAGACCGACATTAAATAAAGGAAAGAAGAAGAAGAGAGGGCAGCAAAACCACAAAATTACCTTGCATATTCATTGGATGAAAGGAACCGTAAAAGAGGACACAAAAATAGAAAGTTTTTCTTCCGACAGTTTCATCTTAGTATTCATATTTGGTGTGAGTGAAAGAATTGGGGGAATCATAAGTACAAATATATGTGCGCGTACGTTTACACGGTTTTCTAAAACGTATATCAAAGTATAAGTACAAGAAAACGGTGTACATATACGCATTAGGGTGCTTCATTAAAAAAAGTGAAAAATTTCTAATGGTTCTGATAGTCTGATAATTCATAACACCAAAATATGAGCCTGTGCAAAAAATGGTAAAGATTGATTAAGGTTTAGAGGTCGCGCCAAGATATGGAGATTTCGGTGAATTAGTATGGGAAATTATTGATTTTCCCATACATTCATCTAAATTTGATGGTAGTTTTCCAAACGTTGGTATCTTGTAAGCCTGTTGTTGTTGTGGTAAAGTTGGCAGTGTTGTCTTGCACATATTTATCTGTCAATTTACCCAATTTTGTCAATTTTTCGCTTTTCTATATTTCTTGATCTGCTGTAAAATCGTAGTAAAAATAGGTTTTTTGGTCATTGCCAACCCTAATAAAATGTGTATGTTTATTTTGTTAACGACGTGTTCGGGGTATCGTCCAAACCATTTGTTGAATAGTTCTACCATTTTTGTTTTATAAGATGTTTGAAAAATAACAATATTATTTGCCCTAAATCAAATGCCATTTTTTTTCCTTGTTTTATTTTCCGTGCTGAGCACCAATGCTACCGACGCCACACAGAGATTTTTTTTTTTAATTTTAAGTATCGCGTAAAATCTCCCCTCGTTTAATTTTGAGCTACAGTTGGCATAAACAACGAAATCGTTTACAAGCTTGCATACAATATTGCTAATTTAAGCGATATAGTGTACCGATCTTTGTACAAGTTGAGCGAATTCCAAGTAGAGCAATGAATTTTGTACAAGTTCTTGGAACTACATAGAAGCTTTGCTAGAATTTGGAGAATTTCGGGGTTTTGTAGATGGGAATATTGTAGAAATTCAAATGATAGTCTGAGATGTTGGTCAAATTTCAGGGAGCAGTAAATTAAATTTACAAGTTCAAACATCTTTGAAAAAATAGTTTCGAACCAATTCTATTAGTTTTTGTTTTTGAAATTTTTTATCACTTGAAAATCGCTTTCGGTACAGTAACACCAGCACATAAGAATAAAAACCGCACTTCTTCGGCGGTAAAAACAGACAGCGAATCGAAAGCGAACGCAAAATTAACGCTGCAAAAACGCGCGAACAGCGTCGACTTGCCGCGTTGGCTTGAGCGCTTCCGTACGCCGCCATGCATTTAAAACGCGGCGAATTTATTTAGGGTACCTTAAGGGCTGAATAAGCCATTTCATAGCTGAAGAAACATATGTTTGACTGAATAAGCTCTTGTTCTGCTGCCAATGTTCGTTGGGTACTTTTTGGGGGTGATGTGTTTGAATGAAATGTGTGCGTTATGAATAGTTAGTTTGAAACATGGCTACCGAAATACTACGCTTATAGGGCCCTTTTATGTAAGTCGAGTCCATCATCATTTCTGGTCAGTGGTCTAATTTGGAATTACTTCTGTAATCGCTCCAGTCACGTGACTAGTCACCAAATGAAAAAAAAAAGTGATATAAGTGGCACTCACAATCGTCGAGTGACGGTGATAATAAAAATTATCTTTAAAAAAAATATGAAATTATAGGGTTAACTACCCCATTTCCGGCCTATTAAGCACAACCCGCACTTAGTCTTTCTTAATCTAGCGCAGTTTAGCACCAAACGGAATGTTATCATTATTGATGGCTTCCAAATTTATTTACCTTTCAGTATGTACCGTAAGATTTGATAAAGAGAAACAAATCGTTGAGATATTGTCAAAAGTGCTTCTTGACGCCAAACTCGGCCTACGGATGCTAAACTCAGCCTAACGCATTGAAACGCCAATGAATTCACTTCGGCCTATCGGATGAAGACAAAAATTGATTCGGTCGGAGCGCTTCTTTTGTTTTTGGGAATATTGGGTGCAAACCTTCATATCATGCGTTCTAATTGACTTCGTTCCGGAGCGTATTAACTCAAGTATCGTACCAAACGCATAATTCACTTGTTAGCTCTGAAATCATGGATTTATTTGAAGTTTTCTACGCAATAGGCCCAAAGTGGGCGATAAGGCCGAAGTAGTCCTCTACCCTATTATCTATTATATTCTTATATATTTATTTATTTTTCCAGCACCAAAATGAATTACCTCCACGTATCATCAAGACCATACGGATGTTCCACATCGTTAAGGATATTCAATCGTATATACCATACTTCTTTTATACAATATTTCTCCTTTTGTTAACTGTGGCATCACATAGAGCTCGGAAAATCGACAGCATCAATGAGAAGACACGCTTCGCTCCTTTTATTGGAAATCGCTCAAATAACACTGTTTGTCATAACAATAACAATTCGGATATAATAAAAGATTGATCCAGCTGATTTTTAGTCAATGAATTTTTACTCTTAAAATAAATGGTTTAACTCAGATATTTACATTTTCGGGTTTTGATTAAATACCACCATTATAACAACTCAATAAGCAGAAATATAATAATTTCTTAAAAGGTATGCATAGTTTATTCCACACTTTTTACATATTTGCATTATATTCCCTTGCTAGCAAATGGTCATTAGACAGAGACCAGAGACAACATAATTTGACTAACGTCTAATAAAATTCTGGGAGCTCAACATTGAATCCTTATTAAGAGAATATTCATACTCGTAGTTAAATCTTTCCAGATACACTCTATCACGCACATTTTTATTGAACACTCTGCTAAGAACGTCCTCTGTTTCATGAATTCGTTTTTTGAATCGTTCGCGGTCTCTCGCAGCCATTTCCCACTCTCCTTTTCGCGCTTGGCGGTAGGCGAAGTCCCATGTCCTCATCACGTGCACCTCTGGTTTGAGATTGAATTGTACCTATAAATAAACATACTGTTAACCATGTGTATAATTCAATTGATATAATCTGTTATAATATACGAGTGTGTGTGTGTGTTTCATTTACGAAAATAACCCAGTATTTAACCATAATGGCTTTATCCCAATTTAAAATATGTTTTCATAACATACCCCACCCCTTTGTTTATCTACGTTGCGTTAAAAAAATACGCTTAAAAAAAAATTACAGCCGGCTGAATTTCAAATCAACAGTTGAGACAACAAGAACCCATATGGAAAAGAATACTGAGCACACCTAAGACGGACCGAAAATGTGTGGATCACAATGTGATGGGAAAGAAACGAAATTGATTTTGTCAAGAATGTCCAACGCTTTACCACTACCCGGGTTTTATCAATAAATGAAATGTTTCTTTCAAAGATTTATTCCCATTTCCATAAGTACCGTTGAATTTGATAAAGAGCCACAAATTGTTGATAAAAATCTAACACTGCTTCTTGATTCCAAATTCGTCCTACGAGTTTCAATTCCGTCAAAACGCATTGAAACGCCATTGGATTTTCTTCATCCTACGGATGAAGGTACAAAAACCGAATTCGCTAGGAGCGCTTCTTTTGTTTTGAGAACAATGAGTGTAAATATTCACACAATACGCTCTACTAGACTTTGTGTTATACCTTGTGGACTAACGCATCAGCACAAACGTATTACTGATGTGCACGTTAAAATTAATGATTATACTGATGATTTCTGCTCGATATAACGGAAATGGAGATTACAACGAAGTAGCGCTCTACCCTAACTTGAACATTAGGTTAAAAAAAACACAATTTCACGTGCATTAAATTGAAACAGTGTAAAGTTTGTTATTGTAATTTTCACAGCATTCAAACTCCGAGTTTAGAAAAGTTTAACGCTTTCGCTAATACCGCTTTGCAGTCTAGATTTCAGTGTGGAATGCAAATAATTTCAAAGTTATTTATATTAACACTTAATATTCCATTCGGATGCCCCCCACAAATTATGACAACGAAATGTCAAACTAAATGTTACGTCTAGTTTTGACGTATAACTGCTTTTTACAGCCCAGTTAACGAACGTCCAATTAGCGAACAAATACTGTACTCTAAATTGTCAATAGTACGAACTATACACTCAGGTCTTTTTTTACACGGGGGATACGTACCGTGTAAAAAAAAACCTACGAGATTTAGATTTTTCGCATGCTTAAATGTTTTTAAAAAATCAGATTTTGATGCCATTTGTAATTAAAGCATGATATGGTCCATATAGACATATGTATTTTAAAAATTTCTGTATTTACACCAAAAATTGTGATTTTATTTTAAGTATGCCATACGATTACCTATAGCTTGAAACGGATAATGTGATTGGAATCATGTCGATAGGCTGTATCGTTGTCGAGAAATCGTTAAGAACGTACCGTGTAAATCGTGGAAAACCGTGTAAAAAAAACCGTGTAAAAAAACCGCGTAAAAAAAACCGTGTAAAAAAAGGCTTCAGTGTATTTATTTTTTTTCTTTTATTTTTTCCGTCTTCTAATACTTTTTATTATGGTATCAAGCTGGAGCTGCGTGACAGCTTAGTTTTCAAAACTTGACCCATGTAAGTAAATTTTGTTTCTATCTTTCGACATTACTACAGAAGGACTAGCCTATGTTGGCAGTTTGAACACTGGTTCTTGTGTATTGTTTCAAGATAGTTTTGGAAAAAAAAATGCTGTGACGTAAGTGCGTTGGGTGGCCAGTGAATTTTCATTTTAAAATTCCCGGTTTTTCCCCGGTTTAAATCTTAAAAAAATCCCGGTTATTAATATTCAACAAAAAAACGATATTGAACGCATTTTTTAAAAGGCGGCCAACTGTAAATTTTCGGTAGTTATTTGTGAAAAAAATAAAAGCAAAAGAAAGTTTTTTTAAGCTGAAAGTAAAAATTGAACTTTATGTAAGTGTATGTATTCCAAACAAATCATTGATCTTTCGAGATACTTTGAAAACTTACACTTTTTTTAAGCTTGATCCATCTTATGATTTCAAAGCTCTAGAATTTATTGAGTAACAGTCACCAGACCAAATGCTATCTGGTTTATAAGACAGAATTGTGAAGAATAAAATATTTAATTAAAAGAATGTTTCAGAAAAAATGAACTTGATACCAATGAGAATTAGAAGAAATTGTTAGGGATATCGGATAAAGAAAATATGGGGGCGACCTCGGCGTAGTGGTTAACATCCATACCTCTCACGCCAAAGTCACGAGTTCAAATCTCACCTCCGGACAAGTCACGAATGACCCAAGAGTGTTAAAGTGACTATAATAAAAAAAAAATTGTTTTCACTTCGTTGTCATAAATATTAACCTTTCAGTACTCGGGCTGATGTACAAAGTTAAACACGAAAAAAAATAATATGTTAAATCTACTGACATTGAAATCTACTGACGCTCAACGTGAAACTAAACATGGTGCATGAAATTTAATACCCACATCCAATAGACCAATACTTATAGAATATTACTGAATAATAAAAAAGTAATTTACTAAGATTCCCAAAATTCTGGGGCTTTGATATTTGTGTAGAGTCTGAAACTAGAACCTTTCTTCAACATTTTCGTAATGTAATATTTAGGGAAAAATATTTAACGATTTTTAAAAAAATTCAAGATCACAGATTTGAAAAAAAAAATCATACTGGAGTCATAATTGTCAAGGCTCTGAGACTAGGGAGCATTTGAAAGGTTATAACAAATAAAAGAACAATCTATAGAATCTTGCGGACAAACCCTGGAAATTTTAGAAAAATTTTAAAGCAGCCAACGTGTTGATTTCAAACAAATATTGAGGAGGATTCCCACATAATTTTCGAAGGAGAAGTTTTGAGCAGAATTCCAGAATAATTCTGACATGGAGTCCTTAGAAATTGTTAGATGAATTTGGAGAGATTTCTGTGGAGAAGGATTCTCTAAAAAGTTCTAAATTGAATTCTTAGATAATTTTGGAAGATTTCAAAAGGAGTTGTTAAAAGAAAACTTTAATGAAATTTCCTACGTAATTCTGAAGAGATTTTTATGGGGATCGCGAGGAAAATGACAGATGAATTTTAAGAAGAATTTCAATACAATTATGATGAGAATTCAACAAGAAACAGAGCTCTAAGAGTGTTCTGGTGACAATTTCAATCCTAGTGCGAAAGATTCATCACAGAGCTCTAACAAGATTGATTGCAAAAAAAATATCAGAAAGAAATTCTTTAAAATACTCCAAGGGGTTTCTAAACAAAATTTCGAAAGATTTATGCTGTTTTGAATAGAATTGAAAGCAAATTTTGAAAATAATTTCAAAGCCATCCGAATAGGCTCAAGGGAATTCTAAGAAGAAATTCTTACAAGGGGTTTAAAAAAAATCAAAACAGAATTCAACGGTAATTACTAAGCGGAGTGTTTTCTGGCTAATTTTAAAAAATGATATTTCAGAACAGAATTCCAAGTTAATTCTGCAATTCATATCATGAGATTTTTAAATAAAATTGCATGGTTGATTTCGAATTAAAAACGAAAAATTAAAACTTTGGAAAAGAATAGTTCAGATTCAGTTTTTACAAATATTTGTTCCCAAAGTCTAGTATCTTCAATATTTTCTTTTAATGCCCATCCACTTTAAATCTGAAATTGAAACGACAAAAATCAATTTGAATTATTATTTTTTTTTATCATTAAATTTGAATTATTGCTGAGTGATTAAATTCTAAAAACAATAAGACGGGAAACTGAAGAAAATTATGCAGCAAATAGAGGTAGACATTCATTTGGTAAATAATCACTCTGTTTTAATGTTTTATTCTAAAATTCTGGTATACAAATTTGTTCCTATGGTATGGTAAATTTATTTTTATTTTAAAATATGAATTATCGCGTATTTCTGTTGTTCATTACATTCCAAGTGAAATTCGAGTACGTAATTTCATTTGAATAGCTTGTTTAACCAGGTAGTTTCTTTTTCATGACTTTTCTGTGATCTTATTTTTTTTCTCTCTTTTATTTATTTACATATATATATATACCTGTATATTTCCATATATTCCTATACATTTCCATATATTTCCAGAGAGCGAGATAAGGCATTAAATCTGGGTTGAGTTTGAAGTGGGCGGAACGACCGTTTGAGGGCAGTGGCTTTTGACGCGGGTTTCTTTGAATTTAGATGGTGCCCACGCGAACTGTCGGGGCATTTCTATAAAGAAAGTTTGCTCTATCAGATGCTGGTGTTATATTTCGTGGGTGTGTTTTTGATGGTTGAAGGGTTTGTGTTTGGAGCTGTCGTTTACGGATGGTTGTTCCGCTTGTTTCAAATGTTAACCCAGAAATAGCCTGGCTTTTGGTTCAAATGCCAAAAGTTCATCCAAAGACACCAGGAGCATAAATTAAATTTTATAGCAATTATGCCCCCTACGAAAACATATAAATACTATTATTCAATTGTAGCTGAAAGCGTTTGGTACGGGAGGTCCACGCTTTCTTCCTTTCCCTTGATCTCAGGTTGTGGAGTGGTTTCAGATATTCATTTCTGACATCACTTGACTCCTTGAAATCCTCTCTGCGGCACATGCTGCGCAGTTGGCCTGGCCGTTGACAAAAAAAATGACGGATTCGTGAAGCCGTCATTTTCCAGGATGCTTTCAAAGTATTGGCTGCGTTAGTGTGAGATTAGATTAGATTAGATTAATTTAAATTTAAATCACACATCTGCACGAATTACAATTACAAAAATTCCGGTAAAAACCAGGAAATTTCTAAACGGGATTTGCTGGTCACCATTAATACTACCACTCTACATACTGCAAACCATTTTACAAGACGCATCACGAACTGTTTTCTAAGTTACTAGAATTACAGAAGGTATACCTGTAGTAACCTAACCATAACCCGTAACGTGGGTAGATCACCTTTTCGTGGTACGTTACGGGATGTAAGATCTACCACCGATTCCTAGTCCCGACTA